CCCCAAAACCCCAAAACCCCAAAACCCCAAAACCCCAAAACCCCATCTAAAAATTAATATTTAAAATTCCTAATGTCATATCAAAATTGAGGAAGAAATAGGTTGGATCTTACTTCATGCCTTTAGTATCGTCTACCGAACTCGAATCTTCATAATCGTCAGCTCCATAGTCCTCTCCACTTTCTTCTTCATCTTTAAGATGTTCTTGTATATCTTGAGTTTGAGTATGAGACTTATCCTTAGATTTGTCAAAGAAATCAACTATAACAGATAAGATTCATTTCAGATAAATTAAAAATTAACGAAGGAAAATAACTTACGTTCTTTTGATGAAGTTTGCTCATTTAAGCCCAAGAGATCTGATTCTCTAGGATGTGTCTCAGACTCATCTATTTCAGGTACAGATGCGTCTGCTTCTGGCTTTATTAGTTGCTCTTGAGGCTTATTAGGTTTTGAAGCTAAGACCTCATTTTGCTCGAGCCTCTTTTCCATTTCTATCTTTTCTTTATATTGTTGAGTATGAATTATATTTTCTCTGTCGATATGATTATCATATTCAACTTCATCAGCCATTGCTTCTAAGTTTGGTGTTCCAGACATTGTGGCAAGTGTAAATAAGATTCTTTGATTATGTTCGTGAAATACTTCATCAATATTTTCTTCTAGCTCCTCCATGTCAATATTTTTGGCAAGAGGTAAGGCTTTGATGAAGTATAGCGCTTTGTCTACTTCCTCTGGATCATCAGTAGGAACCTCAAATTCTATATATTGATATTCTCCAGGCATGATGAATCCGTAGTTTGGAGTTATTTTGAGCTCAAGTAAATGAGAAGACCATCCAAAAAATGCTACAGGTGCTGCTGGTGTAGAGTTTTCTAAGTATATCCTTCCTACCATAGTTCCTTCTCTTGTTTGATAAAAATCAATGTCTTCATCATCTGGCTCGATTTTTAAGAAGGTAGAGCCTACATCAAGGGCTGAACGAAAGAGAAACTTAATATTTGAGTCATCAGAGTTTGAAGTATTGCCTTCAGAAGTATTATCATATTTACTCTCTTCGCCTCTAATTTTATGCATTTTAAATATTTATTCAATTTTATTATGTAATAAGGGGTTTTGGGGTTTTGGGGTTTTGGGGTTTTGGGG